CAAAACACCTATGATGCTACCCCCTGTGTGGTCTCCCATCCCCAACCATTTGCAGTTCAGAGATTTCTTTAGCCAGAGGGAGCTTCAATTCATTGCAGATCCCACTGGATTTTTCTTTCATGACTTGTCCAGTCTTCACCAGACCACATTAAACATTTATCACACACAACAGCCTGCAAAAGAGCATTCTACAGCTTAGCTACATGCTGGATTAACCAGCCAAGGATCACCAGAACAGCTCAACCCAGAGGCTATTCAATTCATTCAAACATTCCCATAAAGTAATTAAATACAAATTAAATACAAATGAAAGATACATCCAAGGTTTTAAGACTATAAAAAATTGTTCACAGGGAAAATACAGAAGCAGCCCAAAATGAATTACAGCGCTTTACTAATATCTCTCTTCTACGAGGTTGGCTCTACAGCGAAAGCCACCCACCCATCACATGTTGTAAGTCTGTTTATAATCCACTTAAGTCATTCACTCTTTTTTGGAATGACAGCCAAGACAGTTTCCAATCCCTTCTAAATGCGACCATAGATTTCATGGCATTCACGAAGCACTAGACCAACCATCAAGTTACACAAGTTAAAGAACAGCTGTGAAATATTAAGCCTATTTCCTATATACCTGAATCGCCCCAAAAGAAAGGTGAACAGCATTCCTCTCCCCAGATGGTAGGAACTGTGCTATGTGTATAATCCCTATTCAGCTACCCTATAAACTGGATTTCCATGGGACTTTTCCAGTATTATTACTGCTACTTACGGACTTGAGTATCTCGAAAATGCTTCCAAGAAGACTTGCCAGTTGTTCACCACCATCACATCCCAGAGAGTCACCACTGCTGCCTAAAAGTCGTGAGTAAAACAGAAGTTGAGCAGCCATATCACACACTTAAAACCTCAGAAAATGAGGGGAAGAGAAAACAGAGAGGGAAAGATGGACAGATTCCATCAGCAATCAGACTCACAGCAAAGTCATCGAAGTTGTTCGGCCAATATTCCAGCTGTTCGTAGGTCCCACACTGCAGAGTGCCGTTACCATACGTTGTATTGATAGCACTATAAGAGAATTACAGGCTGATGTGGGTATAGGTCTCTACATTCTGTATCTTAAAAACAAGATTAGTCTGAGTGCCTTGTAGAAAGTTAAGTATCTCATGGGGGCAGAAAACAAGGGAAATAATTTAACTATTTAAGCTACAACAGGATAAAATTTCAAGCTACAGATAAGCA